TCTTGCACATATAGGAGCTCATTATATGTGTTTTTACACTTAGTTCCAAATACAACATGATTCCTACTTTATTACATACAATATTTAATTGTCAACCGTATAATTACTTATGCATTAAGAACCCACTAAGAATTTTCTATCACAATAGATATTGTTCAGGATTCTTGGTTAAACACAATCATTCCCTAGTTGTCTTATGTCTAGGATCACATCATAAATCCTAAGGATGAATGTCATACTTAAATTAGGGTTTTCAAACTTAAAATAGTTGTTTAGAAAATTATACTATGAGTCGATTCATAAACATTTGGGAATTAACACACCAAGTTAGTAACATCTTGATGATACTAAGAATCAATTCACATGTTATTATTATTCATTTCACACCTCCTTGTATTTCAACTCACGTGACAAAAATGGTCCTTATAATTGCTGAAATCGACACAAATCTTAATGTGAGTCGATTTTTCCCATGAAATTTCTAGCTTTTTATGCTTTTCAACTTAAAATTATGGACCGTTTGTTTTGGTTTTTTAAAAATGATGTTTGTAGTGTTATATATTTTTGTTTTAAAAAAACTTTAAAAGAAAATTTGGTTTAAATAATTATTCTTAAAATGTTTTCGATGGTATGGTTTAGTGAAGTGATATACTTGAATATACGCATTAGGATGACTTGTCTCGTCTTTAAAGATGATTTTGAAAAAGTGTGTGATTTAGTAAGCTAGAACTTTCTGGACTATTCTTATTAGATTTTACTTTAATGATAAGTGGAGGTCTTAGATTATAGCCTGTGTTTTTTCTGATAATCTGATTGTGTTGGCTAATGGCTCCTCAACTCAAGAGATTAAGATTCAAATAGGATTGAAACAAAAAGGACCTCTAACTCTTTTCCTTTTTCTCCTTGTTGCTAAAGGTCTCAGTAGTTTGATTAAGAAGCCCTCTAAGTTGAGTTTTTTTTCTTCAGGTTTTAAAGTATGTCCCTCTAAATTGGAGGTCTCACATCTTTAGTATGTTGATGATATCTTAATTATATTGATCTTTCGGTTGAGAATTGTGGACTATCAAGGCGAATTTGAGGGGGTTCAAACTTGCTTCGAGTTTTGAGTTAATTTTGATAAGAGTTAATTGATTGAGATTAATGAAGATCTAGCCTTAATAGGTATGTTAGCTTAGGGGGTTGAGTTATTCTCATGAATTATGTCTTTAATGTTATTTAAGCTTTTTTCATTCTTTTCTTAAAATGTTTGTGAAAGTGTGGAAGAAGTTAGTCAGGATTCAGAGAATGTTCCTCTAGGGAGGTGTGAAAGGGAACTCCAAATTTTTTTGGGTTAGATGGTAAGATGTTTCCAAATCTAAAAATAATCGAAGGGCTAATTATTAAAGATCTTTGACTAATTAGTCTGACTCTCTTAGATAAATGGAGATAAAGTTTATTTTAGGTGCTTCTGGTCTTTAATTTGACATGCTCTTTACCAGGTATAGTGCATCATGTGTCTGCTTTCTGAGCGACAGAAAGTCCTCGGAGCTCCGCTCTGTTTCCTCGTGGTGGAAAGGTGTGTCCCTTCTTAGATTCAAAAAGAAGGATCATCCTAATTGGTTTGAGACAGAGTTAGTTATGAAGGTAGGATTAAGTCTTCATACTTCTTTTTGGGAAGACCCTTGAATAAGGAACATTTCTCTTGAGATTAAGATTTAAAAACTCTTCATCATCTCCAAATTTTATGATGGATCAGCGAATGAGATAAGAAGGTGGGAAGAGGGGAAAAAATTTGGGCTCTTAGATGGAGGGAAGTCTTTCTTTATTCATAAAGAACCATTGGTCTCTGAGTTCTTCTCAACTCTCCAAATTTTTCAGTTTTTTTAGGAGAGTAATAGGTGGATCTGGAGTCATTTTAAAGATGTTTTACTCTTAGTAGCATTTGATTATCAAGTCCAATCAGGTTTGAATATTTCTTTTAAGACCCTTATAGTCAGTGTTTATCCTTCCTCACCACTTATTTGGGATAATTAGAAACTCTCTAAGGTGGTAGTTACCACTTATTTGGGATAATTAGAAACTCTCTAAGGTGGTAATTTTTTTTTGCAGCTCCTTCTAAATAGGTTTCTGCCTAGAAAGAAAACATATTAAAGCAGAAGGACATTATGGATCTAAAGGGGAGTTCTTGCATCTTCTGTGAGAATTGACTTGAATCACCCTCTCATTTATTTATTACTTGTAACTTACTTTCTACTATCGGGTATAAGATATTTAGATGGTCAAGAGTGTATTGGCTCTTTCTATGGATCGTAGATTTGTTTTTGAGTTTTTTTCTCTTTAGGCTTTAAAGCTAAGTTAAGGAGTGAGTTTCTTTTGATTTGGTATGTTGTGATGTAAACTATTTGGTCAATGCGTAATGATATAAAAAATTGTGGTAAGTAAACAAATGTGAAAGAGTTGGAACATAAGAGTATTTTTTGCCTTGATTGTTTTCTTAACAGATTTTCGTTTATCTTAACAACCTTCACAAGCTCATACCATGGGGCAAATATCAATAATATGTAAGTTGAATACCTTTCTTTACCTGATGGGCCAGGCTCAAGTGAAACTAATAGATTTAACCCAATTGGGAACTAAAAGGTCCTAATTCAAAGGCTTATATTATTTGACCCTAATCAAGAGGGAGTTGTGGGCGTATCCGACTTGAACCTAGAAACAAGATGTTTGTTGTTACTGCAGTCTCTTGCGTACACCGTTCCACCTACGATCTTCAATGATGAAGTTGTTGTCCTCGAGGCGAAATCTTCTGGTGCACTCTGTCTCTTCGGCAAGTCCCTCTCATCCGGGTATAATTGTCTTAGTGCCCACAGCTCCCAACTAATTACGGACAGATCTTCCTAATGCGGCGAGGTGCGTAAGTCTAAATTGACTCAGCAACAATATAGAACCATGTGATGGATGTAGCAGGAAGAGGATTATTAATTGGAGTGGATCTAAACGATAGAAGTTTGTCGCTTGTATCAGGCTTTGGGGTAGGGGAGGAACTAGAGTATAGTGGAGCTTTTGTCAAAACCTTGGTTAATCAACAAAGATTGCAGAAAATGAAGCTGGCTGTTGGAGGTGTTTGTGGTTTTGCAAAGGGATAGACCATTGAAGTTTAAAACTCTTGGGTTGAAGTTGAAGTTTGAATTTGGTTTACATGATATGGATCACACAGCATCCGCCATTTCAATACTGAGGGACGAATTCTTGCATCCTTTATCCAATGTAGTGCCTGCATCAGAATATGCTTGATTTTCCATGTGACTGAATATTCATGAATAACAAAAGTCTCTACAAGACCAGCGTAAGTGGCATTGGAGACACAGCACCAAAGTAATGAAGTTAAATTCTCCGTGTATCACCATTACATTCAACTTAACTAAGTATGCACAAAGAGAGATGGAAAGTGACGCTGAGAGAGGCTTACCTCTGAATACTTCCTCCAATTTCCAGATGATAAAGGGTTTTTCAAATTGAAGTTAACATCAGCACCTGATGCCAACATTTGGAAGAATTAACTGTACACATGAAAAAATAAGATTATAAGTCGGAAAAAGATGTCTAGATGTGGGAAACCATATTTAATGTGTTTATTAACATTAACTTCAATATCAGAAGGAAGATTCAACATACAAATCTTCAATATAGTTTCAATTTTTCCACATTCTTCTAAAGAATTCAGAACAGAATCAAACAACCAGATGAAAATACAGGAAGTGAGGTCTCCATGTACAGGATGGTATCCAGCCACCCTAATATTGCAGCAGTTAAAAATTATTTTACCAGCTGCATTGTTGGCATCAAGCATTGCAAAATATGTAACCACATCTGGACTGCAAATCAGATGATTTCATCAATTTCAATGTAAACTCTGCTTTTAAGAATCGACCCTAAAACATTATCACAAATAAAGAACATAAATGTTCAGGAAAAGAAACTTAAGTCTCACATGAATGCAGCATTGAAATGAACCCTAACCAAGGCACTTACTTGTTTGCTATAGGCACATGTTACAGATGAGTAGACCTTTTCGGACATAGGAAGTTTGAGATGCATGATTTCTTCCATACAAGATAAGGCTTCTCCATATTTTGACACCTTACAACAGCCACTTATCAAGACGGTCTAACTAACAGAGTCGGATTTTACTTTTTTCTTCCTCTAAGGTTTATACAAGTCTATATATGTGTTCTCTTACAGTAAATCTGATAGTACATAGTGCAAACAGACAACGATATAAGCATATTGAGGGAACTAGTTTTATATTCATCAAGGAGATATAAGGTTAGTTTGGTTGTTAGAATAGAGGATTTAAGTAATGGAATGAGTAAGGAAACTCAGGGTTCTGTCTCCACCCACAATATAACACCAATGTATTCTAACATAGTACATATTTGTCATTTCAAAATAAAAAAGAGACAACACTGTAAGCAGTTTCTTACACACCAAGAAGCATCCCAAAGAGCTTATTTGGACTTATATAATACAGCAACATACACTCATACTTTTAAAAAAAAAAACTTTTAGAGAAATAACTTACAGGATATTCATAAAGTGGTTTATGAACAAGTGTTTAATTACACTCTCTATAACAGTTTATTGAATAAGAGTTTAATTCTATTGTTTGTTCAAGCACACTTAAAAAATCTCAATAACTAAAATCTACAAAAAATTGTCAGTAAACAATTAGGATTACATAGTCTTACCATTATCAGCATGTGTTTATTTAACTTCTCTGCCTGACTTTGACTTCTTGGATGTAATATGATCCTGTTTTTCGTACACTTGTTTTTTTGGACATATCCTTTTACATTTACTTTCCCTTTTCACTTCTCACTTCCTTGTCCATCCCATTTTTTACTTTCTTTCTCTTCTTTTCTCTCTCCCCTTCTTATCTCCCATTCATGGTCATCAGACTATCCCAAGTAATATTACCAAAATGGTAAAGTTCAATAATGTATAATGGTGTGTGTCGTTCGTTAGCCTTCAAGTTGTTGAACTCTACTACTCAACTCTAAGGATACAATTTGGGCTTCCTGCAGCATTCCCTCCTCTCTAAGCCCGGATATTAGCTCATAGCACAAGCGGTCATTTAAAATGAAACCAGCATCAAACATTTTCCTATACCAAAAATAGGCACCATTGAAATCTTTTAAGTCACAATGTCCCTTAACCAAAATTTTATATGTATCAGTTTTTGGAACCAGACCCTTTGCCTTCATATCATCAAAAAGATGCTTTATTTCTGAGACCCTTCTATCTCTAAGGTGTGCTAGAATCAAGCAATTGTAAGTCACCTTGTCAGAATCAACTCCCTGATCAGCCATTTGTTGGTGCAAAGACATTGCTTTCAGAACATTTCCATCTTCAGCATAACCATAAATCATTTCATTATATACAGCTCGGTCTGGAATCAAGTCCATTCCTAACATTTCTTGAAACATTTTCTCCATTGTCACAACACCTTCTTTCCTGCATGAATTGATCAAAGGATGAAAAGTCCCAATTGAAGGTCTTATGCCACCCTTCTTCATATTATGGTACAATTCGAGGCATTTCTTAGGGTTTCCTGACATTGCATATCCAGACATTAAGGAATTGTATGTAATCACATCTGGATTATATCCCTTGCTGATCATCTGGAGAAACAGATTCTCAGCTTCTGCTAACTTTCCATTCTTCCCGATTCCATGTATCAATGTATTGTATGTCACAAGAGTTGCATCTATTCCACTTTTTATCATTTCGTCAAAAAATCTGAAGGCATCTTTCAGTTTACTCAATGAGCAACTAGCTTCAATGAGCATATTATATATTTCAACATTTGGAGAAACACCGCGACCAACCATATCTCCAAGCACAATCTCAGCATCAAGAAGCTTACGATCTTTGCACAGACAGTTTATCAGAGAACCATAGCTTATGACATTAGGCTTTATCCCTTTCTTCTCCATTTCCTCCAGAATCTCAAAACACCTAACAAAATCACACACCATACCATAACCATTAACCAAAGAATTATATGTCTCAACAGTGGGAGAAACACCCTTCTCTATCATCTTCTTAACCCATCTCTCTGCCTGGTCCAACTCCTCAGTTTCACAAAATTTGTTAATCAGGGTATTGAAGGTGACATAACTAGGCCTCAACCCTCGTTTTATCATTTCTTCAACAGTCAATATAGCTCTATTCAAGTCACCCTCTTGGCAATAAGCATTCACCAGTATGTTATATGATATCTGACTTGGAACAACCCCATTATCTTCTAGCTTTGCCAAAACCTCTTTAGCCTTTTCAACCCTTCCTACCCTGCACAATCCATTCAACAGAACACTATAAGTACGCTCATCAACCTGTGTCCCATTTCCCTCTAGCAAACCATTTTCATTTGCACAAACAAAATTATCATCAAACAAAAGACACGAAAACCCCTTGGGCAAAAAACCATTCCCCTCCATCTCCAATAACACCTTCTTTGCATCTTCCAATCTCCCCAAACCACAAAGACCACTTAACAAGCAATTGTAAGTAACAATATTTGGCTCAGAATATGGAGCCTTCATCCTAGCTCTCAAGCTAAAAGCTTCCTCTATTTCACCCACCTTACAATACCCATCAATAAGCGTATTATAAGTAACCGTATTAGGAACAACACTTCTATCAATCATTTCATCAAACATCTTCCGTGCATCCTTAATTCTCTTCCCTTTACACAACCCACCCAATATCAAATTATACACATAAACAAAAGGACGAATCCCATCTCTCTCCATTGAATCAATCAACTCAAACCCCTTATTTAAATCCTTCATCATAACAGCAGAATAAACGGCTTTTTTATACGAAAAAGCATCGGGCCGAATACCCGATTCAACAGCGTCATTAAAAAGAGCAAGAGCTTTTTCGAACTGGTGTGAATGAACAAGGGTTTGGAGAAGACAGTTAGTAAAACAAATGGGAAGGACAAAGCCGTCATTTTTCATGGAATAGAACAATTCCATGACTCGGTTGATAGTATTGGGATTAGAACAAAAGGGTAAGAGGGTTTCTAGAAAGATGGGTTTGGATACGAGGGAGTGAATTTGCGAAGGAAATGAGTAAGGGGCATTGGAGAGAAGAAGCGATTTGAAGATAGTTTGAGCGGGTTTTGTGCGGCCTTGGTCTGCTAATGACTGAAGGTGTTGAAAGCTTTGAAGCCATTGTTGTTCATTTTGGGGAAATGTGAGTGATTGGGAACAGAATGAGGAAATGGAAATTTTGAGGTGGGAATTGGGGAGAAGATGAAGAACGGAACGTCTTCTTAAAAACATCGTTTTTACAGATTGTTGATATTGAAAGAAGCTTGACGGTGGCGATCTCTATTTAACGGTGGTGGCGGTTCGGCGTTGTTGCGACAGAAGAACGCGACGGTGAAATGAACAATTGAAGTGCAGGTTTAATGGGAATGACAATCAAGTTTTTTTTCTTTCTTTGACTCAATAACAATTCAGTATTTAAATAATAAATAAAGTATTGAAATTAATTGTTATACTTCAACGATGTAAAAGAATTTTACAGTAATCATAGACGTTTGATGGTGGAATAAGTTTTACTTATATTTTAAAAATTTATAAAGTAATATAAATAGACGGTGACGATGAATTGATAATATAAATTTTTTTATATTATTAGTACATAATAATTAATCTTTAAAATATTATGTATAAATAATTAAATATTTTTTTAAAACAATTATTCTTTTAAAGTTTTTCATTTTTAATTTTGATATTCATTGTCTATTTGTTCTAACGAATAGTGGGACACTTAACACTTTACGTCACTTAAAGTCAACACTAAAAACAGATTGTAGAAATTTGAAATTTTTTAAATAACCGAAAAACAATTTTAAAAATTGAAAAAAGTCAATGTGACAATGAATATGCTTGTAAATGGAAAGGTGAACTTCTTCCATATAAATGTGTTGGAACTATAACAATTATAGTAATAGAAATTGAAAAGTGAATTTGAAAAGATTCATTTTAGTCCCACATTGGATGTTGGAATTATATTAATGGGAATTGGAAAGTGAATTTGAAAAGATTCATGTTAGTCCCACATTGGATGTTGGAATTATATTAATGGGAATTGGAAAGTGAATTTGAAAATTAAGATTCATTTTAGTCCCACATTGAAGGAATGAAAATTAAGATTCATTTTAGTCCAACATTGAAGGGAATGGAAATTAAGATTCATTTTAGTCCCACATTGACGGGAATGAAAATTAAGCCTTACTAGCTGCCTATAAATAAAGGGTAGAAATTCAGTAGTAAGCACTCCGGATTTCACAAATTCATGAATTTTGATTTCCCTCTTCTCTTCCTTAATTCTATTCATCTATAATTTTTCTCTTTTTTCTTGACTGGTTATTTTAACCAGATACTTTGAAAGGTGTATTTCTAGAGCGATTTATCAGTGTGCAACTGATAATCGTAAGTTGTTTGAACGGGCTGTTTTATCCTGGAGGCGTCGTCGTAAATTCGACTGCTTTGCATAATTTGGCAGTACGGCGAAACGTCTTAAAGAAAGCGACCTAGTACGCGACTCGTCCCGATAATTTCCCGGTTTCATAACTGCCATGGCAACTGAGGAAATTATCGGTACTACTGCGGCCGCTTTGGTCTCTGACAAACCTTTCAGGTTTGAGGGTTCCAATTTCAAACGTTGGCAAGCTAAGATGAAATTTTTCTTAACTCTGAAAAAGGTTGCCCACGTTCTGAGGATATCCCGGTTGTCCCTTCTGCATCATCTGAACTACCTAACGGTAACTCACTTGCAGATTCAGACGGGACTTCCAAAATGTCTGACTCAGATGCTAGACGGGACTTCCAAAATGTCTGACTCAGATGCTGCAAAAGCTAAGGCTGCAGCAGATGATCTGCAGCTCCGAAAAGAAATCGCCTTATGGCACGAGAATGATTATCTGTGCAAAAATCACATTCTGAACAGCCTTGCTGATGATCTGTACGACTACTACAGTAGCTACAGAACTGCTAAACAGGTATGGGAGGCTCTGAAAAGGAAATATGATACTGAAGAAGCAGGTGCGAAGAAATTTGCTGTCAGCCGCTACTTGAACTACAAGATGGTGGATGAGAAGTCGGTGGAAACTCAAAGCCACGAAATTCAGAAGATTGCTCATGAGATTATTACAGAAGGTATGCCCCTTAATGAACAATTTCAAATTGCTGTAATTATTGACAAACTGCCCCCTGGTTGGAAAGATTTCAAAAATATACTTTGTCACGTTAATAAAAGAATCATTACTAATGCAAGCAACATAGGCCTACTCCCTAAACTAAATGTTAATGATTCCAATAAATGTGAATTTTGCAGTCAAGCTAAAATAACAAAAACTTCACATAAGTCAATTATAAAAGAATCTGACCCCCTAGATCTTATACACTCTGATATATGTGAATTAGATGGAAGTTTAACTAGAAATAATAAACGTTATTTTATCACTTTTATTGACGATTGCTCTGATTATACTTATGTATATCTAATGAAGAATAAAAGTGAAGCGCTTGACATGTTTAAGGTGTATGTAACTGAAATTGAGAATCAATTTAACAAGAAGATTAAGAGACTTCGTAGTGATAGGGGAACCGAATATGACTCTAGCTTGTTTAATGATTTTTATGCTGAACATGGTATTATACATGAAACGACTGCTCCATACTCTCTTGAAATGAATGGTAAAGCAGAAAGAAAGAATAGGACTCTTACAGAACTTGTAGTTGCAATCGTGTTAAATTCTGGTGCTGCACCTCACTGGTGGGGGGAAATTTTATTGACTGTTTGCTATGTCCTGAATAAAGTTCCCAAGTCAAAAAGTAAGATCTCACCTTATGAGATATTAAAGAAAAGACAACCAAATTTGTCTTATTTAAGAACTTGGGGCTGTCTGGCTTATGTCAGAATTCCGGATCCGAAACGAGTTAAACTCGCTAGTAGAGCCTATGAATGCGTATTCATTGGGTATGCAGCAAACAGTAAGGCATACAGGTTTTATGACCTAAATACCAGAGTAATTATAGAATCAAACGATGTTGAATTCTTTGAAGACAAATTTCCTTTCAAATCGAGAAATAGTGGGGGCACACAATCGAGTCACATTCCTGTGATAAAAAGCACTGAAAGCAGCGACAATGTAGAAACAGAACTTCGAAGAAGTAAAAGAGCAAGAGTTGCTAAAGACTATGGGCCCGATTATGCGGCCTATAATGTAGAAGAAGATCCAATAAATCTTCAAGAAGCACTGTCATCTATGGATGCAGACTTATGGCAAGAAGCCATTAATGATGAGATAGATTCTCTAGAATCTAACAAGACCTGGCACTTAGTACACTTACCTCCGGGTTGCAAACCAATTGGTTGTAAATGGGTTTTGAAAAAGAAACTAAAACCTGATGGAACGATTGAGAAATACAAGACACGCCTTGTAGCCAAGGGTTTTAGACAAAGAGAAAATATAGATTTCTTCGACACCTTTTCTCCAGTCACTAGAATTACATCCATTAGGGTACTCATCTCAATAGCAGCCATTTATAACTTAATAGTACACCAAATGGATGTTAAAACAGCTTTTTTAAACGGTGACTTAGAAGAAGAAATCTATATGGAACAACCAGAAGGATTTGTAATCCAAGGACAAGAAAGCAAGGTCTGTAAGTTAGATAAGCCTCTGTATGGACTAAAACAAGCCCCTAAACAATGGCATGAAAAGTTTGATAACTTAATGATAATTAATGGGTACAAAGTGAATGAAAGTGACAAGTGCGTCTATTACAAATATGAGAATCGCATTTGTACTATCATATGTCTATATGTAGACGATCTACTTATATTTGGATCAAACATTCAGGCCATTAATGATATGAAATCATTGTTATGCAATAACTTTGATATGAAAGACCTCAGAGAAGCAAGCGTGATCTTGGGTATCAAGATCACGAGATCCGACCAAGGAATTTCTTTGGATCAATCTCACTATGTGGAGAAGATCTTAAAGAAATATAAATATTTTGATTGTAAACCTGCATGCACTCCGTATGATCCAAGTGTGAAACTGTTTAAGAACACTGGAGAAAGTGTCAAACAAGCAGAATATGCGAGCATCATTGGCAGTCTTAGGTATGCCACTGATTGTACTAGACCCGACATTGCATATGTCGTAGGATTGTTGTGCAGATTTACAAGTAGGCCAAGTAACGAACATTGGCAAGCTATTGAGCGAGTAATGAGGTACCTTAAAAGGACTATGGACCTCGGCCTACACTATCAGAAATTTCCTGCTGTACTAGAAGGGTATAGTGATGCAGATTGGAACACCTTATCGGATGATTCCAAAGCTACTAGTGGTTATATATTTAGTATAGCCGGAGGAGCTGTATCTTGGAAATCAAAGAAACTGACCATTCTGGCACAGTCCACAATGGAGTCTGAGATGATAGCATTAGCTACAGCTAGTGAAGAAGCAAGTTGGTTAAGATGCTTGCTAGCTGAGATCCCTTTATGGGAAAAACCTATACCAGCTGTGTTGATCCACTGCGATAGTACCGCGGCTATTGCAAAAGTTGAGAACCGTTACTATAATGGTAAAAGACGTCAAATTAGAAGAAAACATAGCACTGTTAGAGATTGTATATCTAAAGGAGCTGTGAGAGTGGATCATGTACGCACTGATGAGAACTTAGCAGATCCTTTGACGAAAGGATTAGCTAGAGAGAAAGTCCATAATACATCCAAAAGATGGGACTAATGCCTATGAAGCAATTAGTTACTCATGATGGTAACCCGACCTAAATGACTGGAGATCCCAAGACTTAGGTTCAATGGGTAATAACAAGTTGTGAGTAATATGAAAATGATCATGCAAGTAAAGCATGAATCCTGAAGTAATGACAGGATGAGATAATAGAAACTCTTAATGATATCTATTCTCTGTATGAGGGAGTACCTAGGCTACAGGAGTACTCTTGATAGATTCACCTATGTGACTGTGGAACTGAGGCCGGTTCCTATGGAATTTCGAGGCAGAATTCCTAGAGCATTCACTAAACCGGGATACACGTGCAGGGCCACTAAAGCACGGGCTACAAGAATACACCTTACGGAAAGGTTGTGTGCGGGTCTGATGTCCGAGATAGAGTTCAAGACAATGGTGTCACTCTTGTTGAATCAGAATCCTACTCGCTACGCTAAGGTTCAAGTCGTAGACACCTTTGCTTATGCACAATCTTAGAAACGTCTGACGTACTTCTAAAATCTCTTTTTAAATTCAAGTGGGGGATTGTTGGAACTATAATAATTATAGTAATAGAAATTGAAAAGTGAATTTGAAAAGATTCATTTTAGTCCCACATTGGATGTTGGAATTATATTAATGGGAATTGGAAAGTGAATTTGAAAAGATTCATGTTAGTCCCACATTGGATGTTGGAATTATATTAATGGGAATTGGAAAGTGAATTTGAAAATTAAGATTCATTTTAGTCCCACATTGAAGGAATGAAAATTAAGATTCATTTTAGTCCAACATTGAAGGGAATGGAAATTAAGATTCATTTTAGTCCCACATTGACGGGAATGAAAATTAAGCCTTACTAGCTGCCTATAAATAAAGGGTAGAAATTCAGTAGTAAGCACTCCGGATTTCACAAATTCATGAATTTTGATTTCCCTCTTCTCTTCCTTAATTCTATTCATCTATAATTTTTCTCTTTTTTCTTGACTGGTTATTTTAACCAGATACTTTGAAAGGTGTATTTCTAGAGCGATTTATCAGTGTGCAACTGATAATCGTAAGTTGTTTGAACGGGCTGTTTTATCCTGGAGGCGTCGTCGTAAATTCGACTGCTTTGCATAATTTGGCAGTACGGCGAAACGTCTTAAAGAAAGCGACCTAGTACGCGACTCGTCCCGATAATTTCCCTGTGCCAAACTCTATTTTTTCAAATTCGAAAACAATCACCTGGTAATGCAAAAGTTGTTTGTATTTTCACCATGAGTTTAAATTTTAGAATTCTTTGAATGTGAATGGAAAGATTCTTTACATTCTCACCATGAATTTCTCTACTTGCTAATAACTACATGGCTTCAATACAATTCCAAATAGCAGTGAGAATAAACTAGCCTTAAGGATTGAAGGAGGAACCGAAACTTCATCACATAATGTTGTGGAATGTGTTCAAAACTCATAAGATCAATAAACAAAGCTTAATAAAATTAAAGCTAATCACACAACACTAAACAAAACATCTTAAGATTAAGACACCAAAGTTAATGGTTGAAACTTAACCTGAAATTACAACTTAAGATAAAAATAAAATAAGAATCAATCAATCACTAAAAACACATTAATCTCCTAAACATGCCAACTCCTTAAACCTAAAATCTTGATATTTTGTAAATCCCTTGAAAATATCAATCTCAATTAAATTTTCATCCTCATTAATTTCTTCTAAGAGATCCATGAGATCCTCTTGCTTGAAAATAAAATCCAAACTCCTTGAAATATTGATTTCAATAAGATCCTCCTCCTCCTCCTCTTTCTCACTCTCTTCGCCGTCTTCGTCTTCATCATTGTCTTCATTATCTATGATATTGTTGCTTTCAATGTGTAATGCAAGTGAAGAATATGAATGTGCTTCACTTTGACTCTGAGAAGTTTCACTAGCCTCAGTATGAGCAACATCTCTTAATGAAGATTGCAACACTTTTTTCTTTCTTAGTGTGAAAAGTATCATAGTGGAAAGAAGAACAAATACAAGTGTGAAAAGGTAAGGAAAATATTTAGAAAATGAAAAGAGAACAAGAACTAAGAAAGTGGTGAAAATAGAACTCAACTTGGTCACTTTCTCCAGGTTCATATTTTTTGTGATGTCAAAACCAAACTTACCAAATGCAATAGTGTAAATCACCAAACAAAGGTTGCAAGTGCAAACTTCAAATCCATTTTTTTTTCTCTGACATGAAATGAAACATTTAGTTATTTAGTATTATATAATATGCAAGTGATTCTCTTGGAGATAGGAAAGGTGTTTGTTTTTTGCATTAGTTTTTACAACAATCAAAGCTTTGGAATCGTTATATGGATGCATGTGGTAAACATAATCTGACTCCTCCCTTACACATACACATGCTACGATAGTTATTGTGTTGACCATTGGAACAATTGGAGGATAAGACTGCTTTCTCCCTAAAGAATTAGTGTCATGGAGATTTTTATTGGGCACTCCTGAAGATCACACCCCTATATTTAATACGAAAATACTTATCATTAAAGTAAATTAAATAAAATTATTATTTCTAGTTATCTTGTGCTTATGAGATATTGTCCATTTTTAAAGTGAGAACTCTCACGACTTTGTCTTTTTAGAAATGTCTTTTATTGGGTTGAAATATATGAAAGTTGTACATAAACTATCTTTATCCTCGACTTCTAAGCAACACGAGATTATTTTGGCTAACCCGTAACAGTTTCTCCTCAGTCGAGGCTAAGAGGTATGGTGCAAACTTCGAGTTCCCACAGACGACATAAATGTTCTAGTCAACCTCAAATTCGTGTCACTGCAATTACTATTACAAAAAAATGGTAGTTGTCACGTGATATTCACGTCACATTAGTAGCAGGTGTAACAGAAGAGTGACAGAAATGTGTAAGAAGGTTGTCACGCGATTTTCACGTGACAAGTTGCGACGTGATATTCACGTGGCAAAATATTTTTTTTAATTAAAAAACTATATTGTTTTACGTTTTAATATATTAAAATGAATAATCAATAATATATTAAAATGAATAATAAATAATATATTAAAATAGTAATAATATTAATGAATAATTTGTTTTACGTTTTAATATATTAAAATAAATAATAAAATTAATAAATAATAAATTTTTTAATTGTCTTTAAATGCAAAGTTAATAAAAAATTTAATAATACATGAAAATAAAAAAATTAATAAATATAATTAATACCAAAAATTAATAAATATAAGAGATTAATTGGAATACACTGTTAGTGTAAAACTATTTTACACTGTCATCCAATTAGAATGAATCATTTTGAAACATAATTATGAAATTAAAAATTAAAAATATTAAATTATAATTAAATCATTTTAATAACTACTTCTTCCATGTTTCTCTATTCTCACGTGTCAAAATGACAGTGTAAAGTAGTTTTACACTGACAGTGTATTCCAATTAATCTCTAAATATAAATAAATACCAAAATTACTAATAAAATTTTAAAATAAAAAGTTTATAATATACTAAAATGTAAATTACATTTTACAAAAATTAAAAATTAAAATAAAAATAAATTTGTCGGATCAATTCGGATCGGGAAACTCGTCAAGGTCAAAATCATCGTCATCCTTGTCATCCGTCTGTTGTTGACCATCAACTCCTTCATTTCCAACAAACGCTTGATTACCACCACCTTGTGATTGCATAAATTATCGCATCATCTCCTCCATATCAGCTTGTCACTTCTTCATTGCCTTTATTTGACGTTGTTGCTCCTCCATTTGAGCCTTTTGTGTCGCCTCACATTGCGTCGACACGCGTCTCGCCTCAGTTAGCGTCAGTTGTCTTACTGTTTATAGCATTTCGGGTGTCAATTGTGGTGGATGTGACGTTCCTTCATCATTTCTAACTTTTTGAAATAAAGTTCTATCCCTTTTCTCATACCGCCAGTCAAAGTTCTAGCACCAAATAAACACTCATTAGGTCCCTTTCCGCAAGTTACTAAACCCCAAATATAAAAATCCACACGTGGATTAAGCGGCTCGGAAACCACTCGGAGTATATTGAAGATTTTCTACCAAAAATTGTGTGAGCAATGTCTGATAATCCTCCTCCACATACAATAACAAAATCAAGTTACATATAGCTTAAACAATTTAAATTAAATTAAATAGTAGATATAACCACGTGATTTTCACGCCACAATATCTCAGTTACCACATGAAAATCACGTTACAAAGTTGTCATTAAATATAAAAAAATATAAACAGTTTAAATAAAATAAAGGCTTAATTGCAACTTTGGTCCCCCTATTTTGCATTTTTTTGGATTTTGATCCCCCCCCCCTTTTTTTTGATAATCTTTGATCTCTCCATTTTAAAAACCACTATTTAGGTTCCCATTTTATGTTTTGAGTTTGATTTTAGTCCCGTCTCCATTTTAAGTCCTATTTTTAATGATGTGGCGCATTCAAAGAGTACGTGGCAATTTCATGTCATTTATAAATCATCCTCTTCACCAAATATAGTCCACGTCATATACTTTTCAATTTAAAAGTAAATTGTTTATTTAATGTTAACATTAATTTAAATTATGTATTAAATTTCAACTATCCATTAAAATCACTTGACTCAACGTTTTTCCGCCATTGCATTCTATTCTCAAGTTACGAACATAAATGAATTATCTTCCCCTCTCACGTACAAACATGAACCCTAACTAAATAATCTGCAGTTGTCATTCCAAATCAACTCGTGTAGTCGTTGTAGTAGTTAGCTCATCTCTGAAATGGAAAATCCAAGTTACGTTTCGAGGTATGTTTCGTCACTCAACTCTGAATTGAAAAATTCTAACTTATCTCTTAACTACAAATCCAACACGCAAATGTCGTTTGTGTTCTGGATTATAGAATGTTGTTTTGAAATGTGATTTTGCTTAGGGTTATTAGATTCGTTAATGTTGTGCCTTGATGAAATGATATAGTGTGCATTAATGTTAGTGTTGTGATTTGTTTATGTCCTTAATTATCAATGTGTTGTGGCCATGTAATGTGCATATGTTGTGGTCCCTATTCTGACAGTGTTGTGTTTTGTTTATGTCTTGAATTGTTAATGTGTTGTGGGTTATGCAGTGTTAATTTGATGTGGTCCATTTATTGTTTATGTTGTGATTTGTTTATGTTTTGTTGTAGGCCACCTGATACCCAAACTGTCAGATTTAGAGTATACAATCGGAGACATTTAGCTTAGAATCCAGTGAAGTTGTATGTTGACGGGTTTGTAACTGAAATGAATTAGGATTGGGATGTGGACTGGATATCATATATGAAAATTGAAGATTTGTTAAAAAAAAAGGGTATTGTAATATAAACTGTTTATGGTACTAGAATCCTAGCTTTTCTTTTTCTCGTGGACTTCGGTCTCTAAACAATGACAATGATGTCTTAAGGTTAATGGAAGATGTTATAGGATTTAAGGTAGTTGATGTTTATGTTGAACACAAAGTTGAAGAAATAAATATTGAAGATGTTATTTTTGAGGAGGATAATGGTGAAGAAGTTAATAATGAGGGAGCAAATAATGAAGTTAATGATGAGGGAGCAAATGAAGAATTTAATATTGAGGGACTAGATGAAGATGTTAATGTTGAAGGACTAGATGAAGAGGTTAATGTTGATAGAGTAGACGAAGAGTTTAATGTTAATGGAGTAGATGAAGAGGTTAATGTTGATGGAGTGGATGATAATGTTAATGTTGATGGAGTAGATGAAAAGAGTGAAACATATCCAGATTATAGCATCGGCAGTGAGGATGACGAGGAAGAGGATAAAGATTTGGAAGATGAATTTGATGAGTTAAATTTAGGTGCTGAAGTTGGTATTAATTGGACGACCGTCTTACCTACTACTACAGCAGAAAAACCTTCAAAGATGCCATAAAGGAGTATGCAGTGGAGAACAAGAAGAATCTTGTGTTCAAGAAAAATGACAAGAAGAGAATGGTTGTCAAGTGTTTAGATGGTTGTCCATTTTATTTTAGGTTTAGCATAAGGACTACCAACCAATATTGGCAACTCGTTAGCTTGACTGATCGTCATAGTTGTCACAGGACAGCCAAGAATAGACAAGCAAAAACGGATTGGTTGGATCGCCAATTTGTGTACACTATAAGAGACACTCCTGAAATAAAAACCAAAGGGCTGATTGTAGAAGCTGTTAAGAAGTGGGGGTGAAGTTGTCAAAGGATCAAGCTTATAGAGCCAAGAAAAAAGCAATAGAATTGATTCAAGGTGCTGGCCGTGAATAATTCAAACATCTTAGGAGTTATGTTGAGGAGTTGTTAAAGTCAAATCTAAACTCTATTGTTAAAATCAAGTGTGATGATTCAGATGGTGGTCCTGTTTTTGAAAGAATATATGTGTGCTTAGAAGCTTGTAAGGCAACGTTTGCAACCACTTGTAGGCCTCTAATTGGACTAGATGCTTATTTTCTTAAAGGTGACTTTGGAGGTCAGTTAATAGGTGTTATTGGTAAGGATGGAAATAACAAGAGTCATTCAATCACTTATATAGTTGTGGAAACTGAAACAAAAGACTCTTGGCAATGGATCCTTAAGTTACTACTCGAAGACTTCCAATCCATGCAATGTTATTTACTATTAACTGCTATGTTATTTACTATTTGCTGAAATGTTATTTACTATTGGCTGCAATGTTATTTACTATTTTTGGCAATGCTGTTTACTCTGTGCTAATTTTATTCACTTGGTTGCTATATTATTTACAATGTTGGCTGCTATGGCTGCTATATTATTTACAATGTTGGCTGCTATGACTGCTATGTTATTTGTGCTATATTATAATGTGCCATATTATTTACAATGTTGGTTGGTATGTTATGTTGTGTTATATTACAATGTGCTATATTATTTACAATGTTAGCTGTTATGGCTATTATGTTATGTTGTGCTATATTATTGTATGCTATATTATGTACTA